ACCTTTATGTGAATCGGCTTGCTTTAATTTTATTTTAATTTTAATTTAATTTTTTTTTTTTTTTTTTTTGTTGGGCTGCTGTTGACGTTAGGGACGGGCTTTTTTAGTCCGCGGTTTTGACGGGTCACGCTCCAAATCAAGTTCACTGGGCACAATACTTCCGAAGGTTCAAATTTGAACTTAAGCACATCTCTGCAGGAAAGAACTTGTATGTGGATGTGTTGTCAAGAAAACCGCAGTACGACAGGAAGAAGGAAGAAGTGGTTCACCTCATCCTTCCCCCTTCCTACCAAAACGCGGCCCAAGTCACTATCAGAGGCGAGACTAACTGGCCCCCTACCCTCAGCCAGGACAAGCTGACCACAGCAATGAAATTGGCACTGCCAGCAGACCCCTGACTCAACAACAACAAGGACATACTGATGATGAGAGATGGCGTAACCTGGAAAAGATCCAAACTGTATGTTCCTGAAAACCTAAGGCTGGAAGTACTACAGTGAAGCCACAAACGTGAATTTAGGAAGCCACTTTGGATTCCTAAAAATGCTCCACCTCGCCAGGCATCAATTTTGGTGGCCAAAAATGAAAGCTGAAGTGGAAGATTACGTAAAAAGCTGTGTCATTTTCACAACCATGAAAATACAGCCAGGCAAGCCTCCTGAATTACTGCAACAGGTGGCCAACCATAGCCGACCATGGGAAGAGATCGCAATGGACTTCATCATCGAGCTCCCACACAGCAGCGGTACTAAAGTAATTTGGACAGTCATTGACTTATTTTCCAAGCAAGCCCATTTCATTGCTTGCTCAGGACTACCATCTGCAAACAAGCTAGTGAAAATGTTTGTCAAATACATTTACCGCCTTCACGAAGTACCCAGGAGGATCATCTCAGACCGTGAAATTCAGTTCACCGTGAAGATCTGGAGAGAGTTCCTGAGGTCTATTGGGTCCACACAAGGACTTAACTCAGTTTTTCATCCGAGTATGAATGGGGCAGAAGAAAAAGCCAATGCTAAGGTGGAGCAATACATCCATTGTTATGTGGATTACCAGGAAGACAACTGGTCGGATTTGCTACCTTTCGCTGAAGTCGCATACAACAACGCTGTCTACAGCAGCACTGGATTAACTCCTTTTCAAGTTACCAGAACTCCTTTTCAAGTTACCAGAAATTTGTTCCCATGCCTGAACTGCCCAGAGAACCCCACTCATCTATGTCTTTGACTGAATGGATGGACATTCTTAAAAAGGGCTGGGAATATACAAAAAAAGCTCTAACAGAAGCTGCAGAAGAGTACAAGAAACAAGCTGATAAACACCACTCGCTCCAACCTCCCTTCTGTGTGGGGGATAGTTTTCTTGTCTACCAAATACATAAAGTTAAGAATGCCTAGCAAGAAATTAGGCCCAAAATTTCTAGGTCCATTCCCAATAGTGAAAATAATTAA